AAAAAAAAATGCAAAAGTGAAAGTGAATAATTTCATTATTATATAATATTAAACTATTTAAATTCATATTTTTTCCCAAATGAAATATATAGGCAGTAAAAAGTTACCTTTTTCGAAGCGTTTGCAAAAGCTCAGCGTGATCAGTTCTTCGAGCACCATTTTGCTTGTGCGTTGCTCCCATATACACAATATAAGTAAATTTTGCAACATCATCTTCTAGTTTACAAGACACACTCACAAGAAATGAAACTACTACAGAAAGACTAAAACTTAGAAGAAAGTAAAAGCCTCTCATGATTCCTTCAGACCACAATATTTTGATGTGTTCTCTAGCTTAAACTTAGGCACTCTTTTATAGTGTTAAAACACATTCCAATAGGATTACTTTTGATAAGGGTTTGTAAAAAGTAAATTGATCAAAATAAAAATATTTTTAAATGACGTATCATGTTCATATGACTTATAAGAAATTTGATAATAGTCTCATAACTTTGATGATGTCCCAAAGCTAGTCTCAAGAGAATCAAATTAATCAATGTCTTGAAAGTTTAAATAAAATAAAATAAAATACCTACTTGAGGACAACATTGTTGAGAATAAGATTTTTGACTAAAAGAAACACCATAAAAAGAATTTGAGACTTTTTGTTTCCTCACGAACGACTTTCTGTCGTTATTTTTTTTTTTCAATGTTTTCTATGATAATAGACTTTGAATAGGACTTAAATAAACTACACTTAGATAATAATCAAACTATTGAGCGTGAATACAACCGAAAGATAGTGAATCTTAAAAAGACTAATAAATAGTACTAAAGACGAAGTAAAAATAAGAATACAACTTTACGTAGATTATGGTTTATGAGTGCTTTAAATCTTTGAGTTATTATGGAGTTTGTGAATACTGAAGGATTCGAGTTTTAAGATTGTTTGGCTCTTTGCGTCTTAATTGTCCGTGTATTATATAAATCGCAAAATATAAAATTGTAATATCTATATAATGGAAAATGCTACGGTCCCGTTACAGAACCATTCCATCAGAATTTGAACAGTTAGATTATCATGTAACCATTGTAGATACTTGATCTAACGGTTACAAACTCTGGCGGAATGGTTCCGTAGCGGGACCGTAGAATCTCCATATAATATATATTACCTGTGTTTTTCTTTGGGTCTTAACCGTCCATGTAATATTGTCATGTAGTATTGTAGACCATGATTTTACAACTAGATTTTTTCACCCCAATAATAAAAACGCCTTTAAAAGCATCCATATACAAAGATAAACCGAACTAAACATTTTAACAAATTCCCTAATGATCCCCAAGCAGAAAGACAGGAAAACTTAACACAACAAGATAAATAAATAATATCTTATTAAGACTAGAAAAAGCCAAGGAAATCCAAATTATAAGAAACATTCTGATATGTTTTGGATGACAAGATGAGTTAATCAAACTACTACATAAGAGACAAATAAGATAAAATTGGCATAGGCATCTTGCATTCATGCTTTTTTTTTTCGAAATTTAGAGATATTATATAACTAAAGACCGCAGGAAGTGCGAAGAGAAAACAATCAAAAGCTGAAAAGTGCAACCAAAGGCTGAAAAGACTTTAAACACAAATCAAAAAATTGTCTAGAGTCTGACCTAGCAACGCTAGAATAACATACTAGCAACCAAAAAAGGATCTCAACAGGATAATGCCCGAGTCTACGATTCCAACAGGATAATACTCACACTCGGGTCATGCTCTTGACATATTTTTTATGTTATGAATTTCTTTGGGCTTTAATACATTTAATTTTAGAACTCATGAGACTATTATTAATTATTTTGATCTAGTGAGACTAATAATGAATATATGCAAAGTTACGAGAAAACTTTTAATATATATTTTTTTTGGTACAATAAAGGAGGCCAAAGGCCAAAGCTAGAATTTGTCGGGGGTATGACACCCCGATGTTGTCATGCGTGACCACTCTCCCACTCCTGGAGGGGGGAACGAGAGGCGATGTAGTCCGAGAGGGTAGAAAGTCGCTAAACTCGCTAGGAAGTTCGCCACGACGTTCGCCTCTCGATGAGCGTGCTGAATTCGAATAGACCAATCCCTTTGAAGTAGCTCTTGAACAGCTCGAACCAATGCCCCATGATGCCCACTAGTTCCCTCCGTATTGGAGACCATGGTCGTGATGCATTGACTATCGATCTCTACAATAACTTGACGGTGTCCCTGGTCCCATGCCAACAGCAAACTCTGGAGCAGTCCCCATAGCTCGGCTCCCGTAATTGTGCAGGCCCCAATATTCATAAAAAATCCTTCGATCCAACACCCCATCTCATCCCGAATCAAACCACCCGCACTACTCAAGCCCGTGGATTGGCTAAAAGCACCATCCGTATTGACTTAACCTAGCCCGTGTCCGAGGAACCCAGCGAATCAACCGAGTAACGTAAGTAGCAGCCCCAACCTTCATGAAGGACGCAGCCGCTCTGGCGTAACTTTCCGTTTGGTTTATAATTGTTGGTATATGTGTCCTAGAGACAACCATTTTAAGGACATATATACATGATCACATTAATAATTATATTGGATTATAATTATGGTATTGCAATTAATTAAATAATTGTTTGATTGTTTGAAATTTATTAAGTAATTGCTCCCTTGAGTTGATACTGTCATTAGCAGAGTGAGATGTTAATTGATAAAGTATAACTCTAAAATTGCCTCAATCGATGATCATTAAGAAAGGGATATTAATGATACGTGATAGATTGACATGTGGTCTGCATCATATTTTTGGAGAATATATAGTATGTCTCACTGCTATGAATAATTGTTATTCGTGATGGACACATAGATACTTTGGAGAGTATTGACATACCCTACCGATAAACCATTTGTTTATGTGTCTATGGGAGTATCGGTGTGTAGAATGGTGTAATAGTCCTTTGACTTGAGGTCAATACGCAATTCATGTATAGAGTGGTCTACTTAGACCTAGTCTAACGCTTACGCCCTTATGGGTAGACACGGGCTTGTGTTGGGTAGATCACGATATACATGGGATTGGTAGTTGAGCCAAGATAGGATTCATTCCTCGAATATAGTTTCGAGAGAACACTTGTTTTTTTTATACTGGGTTGATAAAGCCATTTGCCAATGCACGTGATTATTTGAAATGGTGTTCAAATATAATTGATAAAATCAACCAGTGAGATGAGATAAAATGATTAAGTTGTTTGGATAGACACATATTCAAGTCCTACGCTTAATCGAGTGGGTCGTGAATGAAGGGTACCGTATCTCTATTGAGTTCTACACTAAAGGTTTGTTTGCTTGTCCATGTAAACGTACTTCATATTTTGAGTTCGTCCTTTGGCGCAGTCTAGGAGTTTCGTAAGGATCATATATTAGATTTATATCAATAGATGAAGGCCTATAGGGTCACACAATAAGCAATTAGTTTTCCGACTAAGAGTGAATTGACAGTGTTAAATATTCAATTAGATTAGAATTTTTGTTTATGAGTAATGAGAT